ATCTAATTGGGTCTTTGACTGATACAGGATCAGATTATTATTTTTAATATTTATATTGTATTTATGGTTATGAATATGGTTCTCTAGATAATTTAGGTAATTCATATTTATCAGGTTATAAATATTTTATTTTATTTTCTTAAAGTTATTGAAATTTTTCTTCATTTCTTTTAATTTATTATCTGACTTATTCTCTTTATATTTCAAATGGAGATTTATCTCTAACATCTTTATTAAATGGTGATTTGCTTAATGGTGATCTATCTTCATAATAAGGGGATTTCTCATTTCTTTATGGATTTAATGGTGATATATTAGGTCTATTATTAACTTATAATGGTTAAATTTATTATTATTATTATTTATTTTATTAGTATTTCTAATAATTAATATATGGATTATAATTTTATTATGATGGTTTAGAGATGTAATCGTAATTCTAAATTAATTAAATAAGATATATACTTATGGTAAATGTTATTAATATAATTATTTCTATTTTAATAGATTATTTTATGGCTATCCTCTTGCATTAAATGCCAATAAATAATTACTAGGTTATTGTTATTATTAATATTATTGTAATGGTTATTGTTATTAAATTTTGCCAAGATTTGGCTATGAACATACACTTCTCAATTCTGTATCATATGGAACTATCAAATTATGATTAACAAAATTTTGTTTGTGTAAAATAGTATGAGAGAATTCTACATTCCTTATACTTTCTGATAAAACACTTCTGATTCTATTAACTATGATTGGCCTAAATTTGATAAATATAATTTACATCTTCAAAACTTCATGAATATTTGGTCTTCTATTTGGATCAACTTAAAGTAAAGAAGAGATTAATTATCTCATATTTGTTGAGAATTTATCAGGAATAGGATTGTATTGACCTCTAACAATCTTAAGGGCTAATCCATGTAAGGATTCAGCATTAAATGGAGGTTTGAGCGCGCAGAGTTCATAAAGTATAATTCCTAAAGACCATATATCAGTTTTAAATGAGTAATCTCTACTTTCAATGATTTCAGGGGATAAATAATAAGGAGTTCCTACAATTGTTTTGCATTTTTCTCTAGTATGATTCAAAACTCTGGCAATTCCAAAATCACCAAGTTTAATTATTCCATCTTAAGTAAGAAATATATTTTAAGTTTTTAAATCTCTATGAATAATTTTTCTATCATGAACATGTTTAATTGCTAAACATATTTATGTAAACCAATCTAGTATCTATACTTCACTAAATAAACATGATCCTGTTTATTTAATTTTATTGCTTAAATCACCACCATCTGCATAATCCATTACAATACATAACCTACCTTTTTTTGTTTTATAGACTTCTCTAAATTTAACTATGTTAGGATGTCTTAATGCTTCTAATATTCTTGCTTCTTTAATTGTTTCTCTTCTTTCATCTTCTTTCATTTAATTTAAATCTACTTGTTTGATCACACAAAGAGTTCCATCTTAGATGCATTCCACTAAATATGCCTTTCCAAAAGAACCTTCTCCAAGTAATTTGATTCTCCTATAAATCTCATTTTCATTCTATGACATTTTTTATTTTTGAATTTAAATTATACTAGTATAATTAATTGTTAAGTTATTATTGATATATTTAATCTTTTAAGTTCAATAATGTTTATTATTGTATATTATATCATTAATCTGATAATTAAGCTACATTAAATCTTAGATCCTATATCTCTCCATCTTTATCCATACATTATTGTCGTAATCCTTCGCATTCTCCAAATAATACTGTCAACATCACTGTTTGATCTTGTAATCTAGATTATAATTAAACTCTATTACATTTTCTTCACTTTCTCTAATTCTTATAAATTTTATTCTTAATCTCTGATTTTCTTTTGTAATTCATCAGATCTATTCAATTCCTATTCATATTTTGGTTAAACTATTGAGTACTTTAAAATAAAAATAAATAATACTTTTTCTTCAAATGGAGTTAATTGATGGATCTTGTCCTCTAATTATGGAAGTAGATTTTACAATTCATTTAATTCTTAAAGTTTTTGATTCAAAGTAGAATTTAATCTATCTTAATCAATTTTATATTATTTATTGTTATTTTCTAATTCTAAAACTTTAGCCTTTAAGATTTAATATTAATTATTAATTTATTCTAATTAATTTAATCTCTATAATAATTCTTAATATTATTATTATAGATTCTTGTATTTAGTATCCAATAATCCATTATTTTATTTTAATTCTTCATATGCCTATAATTTATCATTTAATTATCTAGTTAATTTTTCAACTTCTTTTTAACTTTAATTTAATCTATTTTCAACTTCTTTGTATCTAGCTTCATTTTATTTCAAATCTAAAATTGTAATTTCTGATTTAGCAATCTATTGTCTCATCTAATCATTTTCATTTTATTAATAAGTGACTTCCTTTTTGGCTCTATTTAAATCATTTTATAATCCTTTGATTTAGGTTTCTAATTAATTAATTTTATCTAATGATTATTGTAATTAACTTTAAATTTACTCAAAATTTAAAGTTTTCTATCTTTCATTATCATATGATCTTTATAAATTATGTAATCTAGTTTCAAGTGAATTTATGCTATCATCTCTATTTCTTAATAATCCTTCTGTCTAATTCAATATCCAATTTAATTAATCAATATCCAATTATTTCTATCTTAATTATTTAGTTAATCTTTCAATATCTTATTATAATCCTTAAATTCTATTTTCTAATAATCTATTCTTTTCTTCTAATTATCTTTTTTCATCAACTATTGGTTCTAATTTTGAGTATTTTAATCTCCATTCATTCAATTCATTTGTTCTTGAATCCAACAATTATCTTAATCTAGCAATATCATCTAAATGAGTTTATAATTTCTTTTCTAATTCTCTTAACAAAGGTTCTAGATTTTTTAGTTTATTAATTTCATTTTCCATTGAAATTATTTACATATTCAATTTATCATTTTCAGATAGTTTCTAATTCAAGAATTCATTTAATCTTTGTATTTCCTTCGCTAATTCTTTTATGATATTTTCTAATTCTTAAATTTTAAATTCATTTGATTTAGATTATAATAATTATAATTCTTATTGTGCAAGTTTTCTTTTTAGATCATCTACTAATTATGTTAATTCATTAATTCTAGCAATTAGTTATTTATTTTATAATTCAACTCCTTTTAGATCACTAAGAAGATAATCTAATTATGCATATCTACTTTGCAATTCTAATAATTATTATAATCTTAATTTATTTTAAGCTAATAATCTTTAGATTTCATCATTTTTATTGGCTAATTAATTATTCAAAGTATTAATCATAGATTCCATAATTTATCTATCCACTTAAAATTAATTTAATTAATCTCTAAGATCCGCAATATCTTTATCTTTTCCTTCTAATTAATCATTAGCACTTTTAAGTTCACCTACATTGTCATTAGATTTTGAATATAAATCTTAAAGTTGTCTTTCCAACATTTCTTTTGAATTTTAGAGTGACATAATTTAATCTTTACATTCCATAATTTATTCATTTAATTAATTAATTTAATCTTCATATCTCTTAAGTTGATCATTAGCTTATTATAATTATTATTTCATGAAATCTAATTCATTCTTTCTATTTCTTAATTCATTTTATAATTTCTCATTTTCCTTCATTAAATTATTATATCTAGATTATAAATCTTATAATTGATTATTTAATGTAAAATTATCTTATTCTAATCTCTGTAGTTTTTCTTTTAATGCTTATATTTATGCATCTCTATCTCTTAATTATGTAGCTTATCTATCAAAATCTGATTGTAATTATGAAATTCTATTTTATAAATCAGTAATTTTAGATTCATTTCCTGATTGAAGACTTCCAAGATTATTAAATTATCCTTCTAATTTAGCATATTTATTTTTCCAATCATTTAAATCTCTATCTCTATTTTATAATGTATTAGTTAAATCATTAATTTTAGATTCATATTATGATTTCATTGTATTAAATTAATTTTAAAGATTAGTAAATTTACTTCTCCAATCATCTAATTCTTATAATCTTGTTTTTAATTCATTTTTTAATCTATCAATTTCTGAATTTCTTTCTAATAATAATTTATTTAAACGATCAATATCACTTTTATATGTACTAATTTAACTTTCATATTCTCTAATTTTAGTTTCATATTATCTCAATTATAATTATAATTGTTCATAATTTTTACCTTAATTATTTTTATAATCATCTAATTCTTTTTATTTTTAAGTGAGTAAATCATTTAATCTTCTAATTTCATTATCCCAATTAGTTTTATCTGTATTATATTTATTTTTCCAATTAGTCAATTCTTTTTCACTGTCTTATAATTTCCTTTCTGTTTCTTTTAATCTACCAGCAAGACTTTAATCTACATTTCCTAATTTAGATTTATATTCATTTAATTCAGATTCTAATTATTTAATTCTTATAATATGTTTTTCAATTTCAGATCTAATTACTATATATATAATTTAACTTATAATTAGTTATTTCTGTTGTTTATGAATCTAATTTAGTTTAAAGTTCTCTAATTCTATTTTCTTATTATTCATTGACACCTTCTAACTCCTTAATTCTATTGAATTATGAATTATTTTCTCTCATTATTCTATCATTTTCTAATGCTAATAAAAAGCACACAACTTCTGGATTTTTACCTAACCACTTTCTTTCAGTTGTAGGAGGAGGTCTAAAATATTATTAATTATATTTACACATTGATAACTGTACCACTTGATTTGATTTGACTAGATCTTCTTACTTCTGATCTTTGTATAGGTTAAGGTGATTAATCTGCTGTCTTAGTAACTTAAGATGTAGTTGTTGTTGTTGTTTTAGTTTCTATTGAACTTTTAACAGTTTATGGTCTTGCTGATGAATATCTTGATGTATATGACATTAATTAATAAATATGCTTAAAACAAAAACGAAATAAAGATCAATCAACAACATACCTTTTACTTTTCATCTTTATTTTTTTTACTAGTCAATTATTATTATTATGGATGAATCATCTCTCTTAATGATTTCTCATTATATATAGATCTTGCCAAATTTATAAATGCATTCTCAACCTGTTAATTAATATTTTGTATTAATACTTATTCAGCTGTCTTTGCACTTACAACATGATGTTACATATTGAATTCTTTAGCTAATTGTTCAGCCATTTCTTAACTTACTTATCTAGTCTCTTCTGTTGCCATATCTATTTTATTTCCCAATAACATCAACTTTACATTTTAATCTGCATAATGAGATAATTCTGCCATCCAATATTTAGTTACATCTTCAAAAGATTTTGCATTTGTCACATCATACACAATTACTATACCTTAAGCACCTATATTTAATATTATAAATATATACCTTTATAATATGAATTTGTAATGTTTCTAAATCTCTCTTAACCTGCAGTATCCCATATTTGTAACTTTATTCCTTATCCATCTAACTTTATTGTTTTAAATCGAAAGTCAACTCCTATTGTGCTTAAATAAATATCTCTAAAAGTATCATCACAATATCGAATCAATAAAGATGATTTCCCAACAGCACTATTACCAATAATTACTATCTTGAATATTTACTCCTCCATTTTTTTAAATTATTAATATTTTAGAAATTATCAGTATATGAATGTTAATAATATTAAATCGATTTCTTCAATATATAGAATCATTATATTATTCTTATTTTAGAATATTATTATAATATAAATATTTATTATGACAATTAAGTAATTAAGAGACATAATATATATATATATTATTTAATATTCCATTATTATAAATATATTAATTATAATATTACTTTTATTTATATTATTTGTAATTTATATTTAAACTATCTGATCAAAGATAGGTAATTCTTAATTGAAAATTAATGATAAATTTATAACCATTAATGTGAACATTGCAATTTAATAAATATTATATATGATTGTTTAATTATATATAAAATGTTGGAAAATATTAAATAATTATTAATTCCTCAATCTAGAGAAAGATATGGAATTTACCCTAATGTTTTGAAAGAAGTGTTTAGCTAATTATCAAAGGGTGTTTAAATTTACATTTATTTTACTATATCTAAATTGTTACTAACTTTAATCTTTTTAGGAGAGGCTTTAAAATGTGAGTTATCAGAATCTCATTCAACAGCTACAACATTAATATTACATTGTATTTTCTTATTATACCATGAATTCAAGTACAAGATGGAATTAGAAAACATTGAAAAATTAAGTTAAATTCAATAAGTTTTAGAATAAGAAGGAATGAATTTAGAATAGATTCCAGATAGATAATCATTTAATAAACTGATGATGACAGTAAAGAAATCAATATTTTCTTAATGTCCTGATTTAAATGTAATTGGTTATAATATTTAAATAGAGAGAATCTAAATATTTGAACTTTTTGGCTTAAGTAATAATAATTAGATTTTTTATCTTGATGTTGAATTCACCATTTAATTTTAATATGTTTTAATATTTTTAAGAAACATGTGATGCTAATCTATTAAATGTAATGTTTATTATGGTTTTATCAATGTTTCTAGAATTCATCTTTTTATATTGTTTATTAGTAGTTATAGTGATTGCATTACCGTAAAATATTAATTAATAATTATAGATTGTTATGTTGTTTATCAATCTATAGAAAAGGTAAATAATTATATTCTATTCGAAAATTAAAGAAATACTTAGAATCAATTCCACCTCATAAATATACAGGATTAGATGATGCTTGGATGAAAGAAGACAAAATTTGTTGTATTTGTATGTAGGAATATGTTCATAATGAAAATATTCTTTAATTACCATGTAGTGGATAACATTAATTTCATGAAAGTTGTGTTAGAAATTGGTTTGATGTAAATAATTAATATTAATTTAAATAGGTATCGAATAGTTGTCCAATTTGCAGATAATAGTTAGGTTGAAAATTAAATTTGATATCTACATAATCTATATAATTGACATTTATGTTAAATATAAATTTTGTGGGAAATTGAATAATTATTATAATTAACGAATTTTTCATAGTCCATGGATCAATTTAAAAGAATCAAGAAAATAGGCAAAGGCAATTATGGAGATGTATTGTTAGTGCAAAGAAAATCAGATGATAAGGTACTCTTATTATTTATCATTTCAGTTATTTGCTATAAAAAGAGTAGATTTAAGTTTTAGAGAAAGCTATGTTGTTGATCCACTTAATGAAGTTAAATTGTTACGTAGTCTAGATCATCCTAACATTATTTCGCATTATGATTCCTTTACTCATAATAATAAATTATGTATTGTAATGGAATATGCTGAAAATGGTATCAAATTCTTATAACATTCTTCTAGCCGATCTTAGTATGATGACCAATTAAGCTAAACAAACATAAACATATATAGATGAAAATACAGTTTAGTATTTGATTTATGCAATATTATAGATTCTTGGCTGGTTTTCCTAGATCTCCATTGCTATCTAATACCTTCATTAATTGAAGATAATACATAGAGATATCAAATTATAAAACATCTTCCTCTGTACCAATGGAATTGTAACATTTCTTATTTAATTTAAAGGTCAAATTGGGAGATTTTGGAATATCTAGAACTTTAGACAATACCTTAGATCTAGCTTAAACATCAATTGGTATTATATTATTTTTATATCATAGGAACTCCATTCTATCTCTCTCCTGAAATCTGTTAAAATCAATAATATAATCATAAAATAGATATCTGGATGCTTGGATGTACTCTATATGAATTATGTACTCTCCAAAAACCATTTAAAGGAGAATCTATTAGTGAAATAGCTTTTAAGATTATTAATGAACCTCATCCTAAGATTCAAAGAAATTATTCAGATTTCATTTCATAATTAATAGATGAAATGTTAGAAAAGAATCCAGAAAAAAGACCTGATATCTCGACTATTATCTAATATCCATAAATTTAATCAGAATTATATAAGCTATAAGGACTTTATAAGACTTAATTTAATTACATATTGCCTGTTTCACCTATGTAATCCAATAAATCTTCATAAAAGAAAATGCATAAAAATTCTATTCATTTTCTTGTTGAATAATCTAAATAATTACAATAATAACAATAATAATAATAATAATAATCACCATAAGTTTGTAAGTAGAAAAGAAGAAAAGTTTCTTTGCAATAATTAATTTAAGATACTTCAAATTAGAATTCTCCAACATTTAAATAATTAGCTACTGCTGACAATGCTAATAAAAATAAGCCATTATCATTTAATTTACATACTCTTCCTGATGTCATCAATGAATCTATCTAATAAAATTCAGCTGTTATGGCTTAAAGATAATTAAGATATTAGAAATCTATCTCCATCAATACTCAAATTGATGATGCTACTAAAAGAGGCACAAATGAATATGAAAATGAAAATTAACCAACATTACTTAAGAATCCTAAAACCTTTTCATTTGCAGGCTAGTTCTTAAATCCTAATGCTCCTACTTCTCCTTAGAGATCCATTTTATTAACAGATTTCCTTAAAAGAAAGATAGGAGAAGAGAAATTCCAATAAATGAAGACTCTTTTAGAATCATCTAATAATCCTATAAAGATGTTAGATTAAGAGAAAGAATTGGTTAGTGAAATATTAGGAGAAGAAAACATGGAATGCATTAAAGTATTAGATATTTCTTATTTTAGATATTTAAAGTTTTGATCAGTAGTTCAATTACTCCGTAAGCTTAACATACAAGAACTAAAAGTAGTCAATCATTTTAACAATATAATCATAATGATTAGTCTTTAATTGATTTAATAAAGGAATCTGATTTAATGCAAAATGCAGAACACTCTTAGAATTCAGTCTTTGAGATTTCATTTAAAAATTTATAGAATTGCCATGATGCTTTTAAACAATCGTGATTATCTTGATTATATAAATAATCAATTATCTTATTAATGCTAATAGAAATTAATTATTATTGATTTTTAATAATTCCTATAAAAATAATTGAATTGGATATGATGCAATCTAATAATTCTTTTGATGGAAATAAATAGAGAGATAGCATGGAAATGTTATCATCCGAAAATAGCTCAGTTGGTAGAGCGAGGGACTGTAGTGTTATCCAGTTATCCCCAGGTCGGTGGTTCAAATCCGCCTTTTCGGAGTTTTTTTCTTATTTTTTTAATAAAAAGTAAAGATTAATTAAAAATAATTAAGGCAATAAATAATTAAATATTTTAATGAATTCATCTAGATATGGTGTTGGAAATAGATCAAATGCTTCTTAAAGCCAAAACTAATAGAAGCCTGCTAAGGGATTATGGGGAAAGTTAATTAGATTTTTCTAAACAGGATGGTTGAATCCAAGATATTTATATAAATAGTCAAGAAGATTTTTATGGGTTGGAACAACAGGTATAAAATTGTGATAAAGAAAATAAGGATTAATATTTTTGATTGCTCCATTTGCATTTTCACACTTTTTAGAAGTTAGCGAGGAATTATCATAAATTTCAAGAATGGGTGCTTAAGAAAGTAAGAAAATTAACAAATAAATTAGTGAGCAAAATTTGATGAATGATTATTATTATATATGTTCAGGGAATATTGTAAATCAATTCGGAAAAAGAGCTTATTTTTTAAATTAGAATAATGTTGAATAATAAAATGTGTTTTTGTTTTTGCCCATGCTTATTCAAGACTTGGAATGAAATTAAGAGTCTGAAGGTGATCTTCTTTTGTTGTGATTTCCCTTTTTTTACTCATCGCCTCTCTTAGGACTATTGCTATATCTACGTCTATTACGGTGATCTCTATTTCTTCTTCTGGAACGTGAAGACGATTAAGAAGAACGTGATCTTGAATCAGATCTTCTTCTATGATGTCTATTATAGAATGTTTTAACAACCTAGATTTAGAATTAGAGTATCTTCTGCTTCTCTGAGGTGATCTGCCGCCTTTAGGACAATTTCTAGCCCTATCAAGATTGAATTAACTCAATACCAGTGTCCTCCTTTTCCACATTTGAAACATTAATCACTTTCATTTGGTCCAGTTTTTCTACCTTTACGATTGTCAACAACATCCACTTTTAATTTTTAGCCATTGTGTGTTGCACCATTCATCTCTGTAAGAGCCTCTTTTGCTTCATCTTCATTGCCAAAAGTCTAAGTGAATTTAAATTGAAAAGAGTTACTATAAAAGAGTAAGACCCTTTATATGCCACTTCTTTGACAGACTCATACTTTCTAAAAATTTCCCTAACATCTCTTTCATCAGTCACTTTGCTACGACTGTATCCAGCTACGAAAAGCTAATTAGTCACAATCTCACCCATTAATTAAAATTTGGTAATATAAAAATCCCAATACTTAGTTAATAAATAATAAAATATGAGTGTTTAAAGACTGCCTCTCGAAAAATAGGCTACTCCACGTCATCATAGTTCTAAACCAATTTAATAAGTCTCAAGTACTGCTAGAACAATTACAAAGCCTCCTATTGTTCAGTAAGAAATGAATCCAGACAATACAATACTATCATTCATGAAATCATTAGATGGTAAATAAGCAGCCATACTTAATCGATCAATTAGAGATGGAGAAAAACTTCATGTAAGAACTATTAGATATTTCAATTAGAAACCTTTAATCAAACCAAGAACTTACATTGCTTAATAAAAAACAATTCCAACATCTAACGTAGAGAGATAAATTTTAAATAATCTGGAAACAAGGTATTCTTTTTACATACTAACAAGAACTTAATAGAATACAAAAACTTCCACAATATGAATAAGAATTAGTACTACAAATTCTAGCATCTATTGAAAATGGTTAACCTAAACATGAAGAACTCATCTCTTTCTTTAAAAGTAAAAGAATACATATTAAAATCCATTCAAATTATGGCAATAAAACTTAGGTTGGTTTAACTAGTATTGAATTGTTAAATAATAACAAGAAATATGTCAAAATCAATTGCATATATTCTGATGATGATTCACATAATACTATTAATAATCTTATAAATGGTCATAATTTAACAATTTATCCTGAATAAATGTGGATTACCAATTTTAAATAATTCCCAATTACTATAACAGTATGTTATCTACTTTAAGAAGAATCTGAATTTCTCACATCTGTTAAAATATGGAATTTTAATAAAAATAGAAAAGAATTAGATAAATGTGTTTGTGAATTAGAAATCCTATAGAATGATTAAATATTATGGTAAGGTTAAATTGCTAGAGGAGTAGCTAATACATTTTCAGAATATGCTTAAATTATTGAATTAGAACCATAACCTTAATAAATTATTAATACAATAAAAGACAATGAAACTCGAATTAAGAATTAAAATGATACTACTTAACCATTTAATTAATCATTATAATCTATTAATTCAAAAAAATCTGATGAAAATAAAGAGTAATAATAATTATATTTATATTTAGAATTAATTTATCCAAAGCATCTAGTCAATAAAAACATGCAAAACCTAAATTAATATTTGATCCTTTTGATGATGATAAGAAATTTAAAAAATTTGAATAAAAATAAGAACCTTCTTCAGTTAAAACTAAATAAACAATGCATTAATAGAGATTCTTTAAAAAATCTATTAATTTATTCTCTTAAAAATAATTGACTGAAGAAGATTCAACTAGTCCATAACCTAATTTTAAAAGAGGAGTTGCTCACATTGCTGCAGGAACTATATCAACTCGTACTAAAAATATATCAATACCTGAATGTCCTTTTGGATCAACATTAATAATTAAATTTTTAAAAAATTGGGGAGATCTTTATTCAATTGGATTAACAGGAATTGAAATCTTTGATTATAAAGGCAAAAAAGTTAAAATAAATTCAGTATCTGGATTTTTTAGAAATGCTGCTGTTTTATTTGATGATAATTATTTAACATAAGATGATAAAAATATGTGTATTGAAAGAATAGATAAAAATATGGAAATTACAATAAAATTTAATGATACTAAATTATCAATGATTAGAATTTGGAATTATAATAAAGGTAGAACATATAGAGCTAAATGTGTTCGTAATATTGAAATAGTATTGGATACAGATTCAATATTTAGTGGAGAAATTAAATAAGCTAATGGTACATGTGGTATAGATAATGCTGAATATATAATGTTTACTAATAATCCATAGATTATGGAAAAAATTTAAGAATAGGATTGGCTTAATAAATTACATGAAAGTTAAATATAATAATAGAAACATATTCTAGAAAATACTGTTAAATTAAGTAGACCAGATACAGCAACATTTAATAAACCAAAAGGTGAAATTACAGCATAAAAATTTGCAAATAATAATCTTAATTCATAATTTAATAAAGATTATTAACATTAAAAATCAGATTCAATTCCATAAATAATAAGATAGGAATCTGAATCTAAATTACAATAACATCCAAAAAGATTATTCTCATCTCAAAATTAAATTAATGTTAAGACTTTACCAACAGTTAATGTAAAAGTATTAACATTGTATTTAATAAAAAATTGGGGTGATAAATTTATTGGACTTGATAAAATTGATATTCATGATAAATTTGGATAATCAATGAAAATAAAGAAATATAAAGTTATTACATCTTAATCTGAAACTGTTGTAAATAGTGATGAAAGATGGTAATTAAATAATGGAAAAATAAAGATCTAATTTGTTTTTATTTAACCAACTTAAATAAGTAGAGTTGCAATTTGGAATTATAATAAAGAAGATGAATTAGAGAAAGGAGTATAAATGATTAACATAAAAGGAGATAATCAAATTCTAAATTCTAAGTAAGGTATCTATTTGAGAAAAGGACATGGATTAAGTGATGTTAATGAACCTCAATTAATTGAATTACCATATTAAAGAAGAATAGAAATAGTAAAGGTAAATTACTAATTCGAAAGAAATATATATTAAGATTATGAAACTACACAATTACCTTAAGGCACAAAGATAGTTATTAAATTATTATCTACTTGGGGTGATTTACATTATATTGGATTGAATGGTATTGAAATATTTGATCCAAATGGAGAATAGCTTTATCCAAAATTATTTGCAAAACCATTTTCAGTTAAAGAATTACCTCAAATGGAAATGGATGTCAGAACACCAGATAAATTATTTAATAATGTTAATATTACTTTAGATGCTAAATAAATGTGGTTATCTCCTTTCGTTAATTCATATACAGATAGATTAAAAACAAATATAAATTCGAGTGTTTTTGATCAAATTAGTTATTAAGTCAATAAATTAATATTACTATTTGATACTCCATAATAAATATCTGCCATATCTTTTTATAATTATAGTAAAACACCTGTCAGAGGAGTAAAGGAATGTGAAATCTCAATTGATGATAATATTATATATCAAGTAAGTTAATTTATTTAATATTATAAGGGTTATTTAAATTTATCAACCTTGACTTAAACTGTAAGAGGAATAATGGGCAATAATAAAACTACTGTGTTGTTTACAAGAGATGAAAGATTAATTGATTAAATTGGAACTGTAGAAATAAGAGATAGTATTATTGGATCTGAGACTCTTTTAATCAATGAGAATTAAGTAATCTTTTGAAATAACATAATTAGAAATTGAAATATAATAGTATCAAAAATAAAGAGGTCAGACTATAATAATAGGGATTGTATAAAGAATTAGATAGACCAACTACAACATAAGTTTACTGATTTTTATACTTTCATAATTTTGTTACAAAATATATATAGAGTATCATCAATATTAACATTATTCTGTTTGTAATCTCTTATTGATAGGAGGTAATAGAAGATTTCCTGATCTTATGTTTTAAGGTTTATTATTATTTTAAATATTATAATAAAGATTAGGAGATACAAACGGTAATCTATTATTACTAATCGATTTTATTGAAGGTCTAGAAGTTTTCACTGATTAAATAGATTAAGATTTTGGCTTCTTATAATTAATAAATAAGGGACATCCTTCATTATCATATTCTACTTCTAAAATTTTAGTCTTAAGTATATCTGAACAATTAGGTCTTTTATTTGGATCTATAGATAACATTTTCATCAATAAATGTGTCAATTATTTACTATTATACAACTCTTCATTAATTTTAATCCAATCAAAATGACATTCCTTATTCAATTATTTCAAAGCAATTTAATTTTGGGCATTAAATAAAGGTTTATTAGTTATTCTATTATATTTAAATTTGTTACAATCTATAGAGAATACAACCAAGACTAAAGATGTCACATTTTTCATTATAAGTCATCTTATTATCTTCTTCACATAGAAATATTTCAGGTGCCATAAATCCAATAGATCCACAATATTTACCAATATCCATATTATCTTTTATTTCTGAACTCACTCCAAAATCACTTACTACTATATTTGGATCTTGTTATGATATAAGTGAAAATTATTTTAATGACATTGGTTTCTTTAATAATATATTGCAAGGTTTTAAATCTCTATGCATAAATCCTCGATCATGTAAATATTTAATTGCATCAACAATTTATCTAAAAATAACTTTAACACTTAAAAATGGTAAAGGTTCTTCTAATTTTTTTAATCCTTATTCTAATGTTCCTCCTCTTGCTAAACTCATCACAATATATGATTAAGCTCTATTTTCAAAATGATCATAAAACTTTAAGATACTTGGATGATCTAATGATTTCATCACCTTTATCTCATTTTCTATTGTTAACTAAATTAGAATTTAATGAATACTCTCCATGAATTAGGATTCTTTTGTATTAACATTTTCTTAAGAAATGCCTTAATTGCCACTTTAGATCCATCTGATTTCTTTTTAGCAATATATACAGATGCAAAACTACCATTACCTACTAATTTTTCCAATTCATAATAAGTTTGATAATCTAATTAAGGTATTTTAGATTTTAATTTTTTTTCCCAAGGTTCAGCTTTATCAAGAAAAATATATTCTTTAAAATTGCATTCATCTTTCTCTAATCTTAATATGATAGAAGCTTGTTCATGTTTAATTTAAAATCTAAGAGTACTATTTAATATGGTATATTTTAGGGATTTTTATGACTTAGTATATAGTTTGATAATACCTTTTTATATAATTGATTTTCATAACAAAGTAATTCAATTTGATTGTTGTTTTTGTTTAAAAATTTGGAATGTAATTAAAAATAGTTTAATGATGTTGTTGGGATTTGTAAAAATATTTTATTTGACATAGAAATAATAATAATTATAATTAATATATATATATATATTGATCATAATTAAGGACATGATATATAGGGTTTTGCTTCTACTCCTAATTTATTCATTATATCTTAATTTTATTATAATAATCCTTTTTATTTTTCAATAACATCACTAAAATCTGATTTTAAGAGACTAAATTAATTAGTAATTTCTTCATTCATATTACCTACATCTTATTTATTTCTATATTATCTTCTTGAAGTTTTAAAATCATTCAAATTTTTCCTTAATTTAATCAATAATATTTTAAGTTAGACTTTACTTAAATTTCCCTTTCTAAATTATAAGAATATAATTTTACTTTAATGCAACAAATATTTTAAGTGAATAGAGCACTACTTAAGATGCTGATTATGTTAAATTCTATCTTAATTGTATTCTCTCTAATACAGTTATTGCATGTGATTCTAAAGTTGAAATAACCAAAGAATTAATAAGAGTTACAACCATAACAGATATTACAAATATTCCTAAAATACAAACAACAAAGATAACAAATCTTCCTAAATCTGTTCTTGTATAGAAATCTCCATATCCTACTGTTGTTATAGTAATAATTATATTCCATAAAGCATTTGCATATCTACCTAAATTATTATTAGCTGGATCATTCCTAGCCAATGGATTTTCACATATTCTTACTCCATAACCAAAGATACAAATCAAAGAAACAAGAGCTATGAATTATGAAGTATATGGAGAAGTTCTCATTAATGATTTTGCCACAAACATATAATTACCTTCACATGCATATAGATTGCATACTCTTTGAGTTCTGTTACTGTACCAAAATGTCTATGCCAAAATAGTTCTGAATATAAACACTGTTCTAGTTATCATAATCAATGCAAGAATTTCATTGACATGATAATAAGCCATTGCATCTTGAAAACTATTGTAAAAGTATACTCTCATCCCAATAGTAAAAGGATAAGGAATTATACAATAAATAATCAATTCTATAAGCATTGGATACCATTATTCAGTTTACCATATTTTATCATTTTAACTAATTTATTTTCTTGATTTTTGCCAATTCATATGTTATTAATAACGTAAGACTGTTAAAACTAATAATGCCAATGTAGAGATAAATATTATCCATAATAACCAACTTGAAATCTAATTACTATAATATACTATTTACATCCTCATCCTCTTCTTCAAATTCTAAATCATATTACATTACACTCAAACCCAAACCCATTAAATTAAAAACAAAACAAATCTATTCAGTCATCAAAAACTTTCTAAATTATAACTTTGTTATTTTTCCTATATTTTATTTATTTCACTTACCATCTTCTAATCCTCCTAATTATTGAGAACATACAACAAATATTTATCCTAGAGTAGCTGCTTTTAGAAAATCAGGTTTCTTAACCAATTATTCATTTTCCAATTATCTTCTACTGCTTCTTTCCTAACTTATTTTATATACTTACACTCACTTTCCCACTTTAAGAGGGTCTCCTTCCTTTCATTCTAAATATTTAATAATTAATTAAATATAATTCTGTTTATTTATAAAATTTTAAGCAAGTCTATTTCAAATTAAATAATACTGAAAGATAAGGAATTATTTTATATAATAACCATTTTATTTATGATAAATATGTAAATTTATAAATTATAATTTCATTAATCTTAAATTATATTCTTATTTTAATAAATTAATCTAATCGAAATTATTAATAGTTATATCTTATAGAATAGTTAATCATATCTTTTTATATGAAATTAATTTAACAACTAATAATCACTGTATATTTATTTTTGATAATTATAATTTATTAATTTATTGTTATTTGATTAAAAATAGAAAGTAAATTGTTTTTATTTTTCTTAGAAATTACATAAAAAGTATATTCATTATTGAATTAAAAAACTAATATTATAAATATGGATATTAAATATGAATATATTGAATTCAAATAAAAATCATTTAAAATTATAATTAGAAATTTATATGATACTAGAATGAGTATATAAGTATTTTATAGATATATAATAATTTATTTATTTTATTTTATGAATAGTAATAAATATAGAAATTTTAGTATAAGTATGAATAAAAATAAAATATATGTCAAATAAATTCATAATCAATTTAATATATATTTTGATTATACTTAAATAAAAATAATTATTGTTAAGATTAATAATATTCTGTTCAATGTCAGATGCTCCAAGAGTAATGAAAAATAAAATAATAGAAATTATTTTTTAGAAATACTTCTAACCAGCCCTAATAACCCAATGTTGTAAAATAAGTCAATGAATAAACAAATCAAGAGACAAGTGTTTAACCTATAAATTAAACAAAAGACCTTAATTAGTTAGGTTTAGATGTTGTGCAGCCTGGAGAGGTAGCATTATAATAGGTAAATGTCTTGTGTTTCAATGGTGTATAACAATTCTAAGGACTATTAGTAATTACAAACTATTAAGTAATATTGCTATAAATAAAAGATTGTTTTTTTGCCTTAAAGATTTCCTATGGAGTTCAAAAAGGATTATTTTTAAATACCTTATACATTTTTGATAAAAGTGGATAGAACTATTGATAAGAAATAAAATGATTCAAATTTAATTGAAATATCATCGAAAGATGGTAGATAATTTAGATATAGATTTTAGAGAGAGCAAAGTGATGATTGTGCATGTTTATTTAATTTGATCAATAAGAATGCTTATACTTTATAAAAGACAACATTATTTGCATTTACTTATTATAAAGAAATGCAGAATTTAGAAAATGAATTTTAAGGATGGAAAATATATAATATTGAAAAAGACTTTGAGAGAATGGGAATTATAATATAATAAGAAAGTTAGCAATAATAAATAAATGGATTATTTAAATATTTGAATAATGAAGGTGGATAGATATGTGCAACATATTACAATAGATTAATTGTACCTTCTAAAGTTGATATGGATTGTATATAGAAGACAGCTAAATTTAGATCAAAGGAGAGAATACCAATTTTATCATATGCATTTTAAGTAAATGGAAAAATTGTTTCATTGTGGAGAAGTGCATAATGTAGAATAGGAATAGGTTAAATAAGATCATTAGAAGATGAATTATATTTAAAATAGATGTCTTAATAAATTGTTGATGAATAAGATAATTAATAAGAAGAAATTCGATTAAAAATATATGATGCTCGTTCAGATGTTAATTCTATAGGATAATAAGTTGCTGGTAAGGGTTTTGAGATTCCAATTTATTATAAAAGTTGCAGTCTAGAATTTCTAGAAATATAGAGTATACATAAAGTTAGAGATTCTTAAATGAAGTTATTGAAAAATTCATTTAGGTAAGTAATTTGTATAATTATAATAGTGAGACTATTTAATTTATTTCATAATTAGAAATATCTATTTGGTATGAACATATAGTATCTCTTATACAAGGTGCTGTTAGAATAGCATTAAGTTTAACAAGAGAGAAATTGAATGTGTTAGTTCATTGTAATGATGGATGGGATAAAACACCTTAATTAATATCATTAGTATAGATAATGATAGATGGATATTACAGAACATTTGATGGATTTATGATATTAATATAAAAGGAATGGATTAATAATGGACATTAATTTTGTTAGAGATCTGCAATTGGTAATAAATAACATAGTGATGATTGTCGATCACCAATATTCTTTTAGTTTTTAGATTGTGTTTATTAAATGTAATAATTATATCCATTATCTTTTGAATTTAATGTTAAATTATTACTAGATTTAGCATATCATAATATGTCTTCTCTTTTTGGAAATTTTATATG